TTTTTTTTCGTGTTTTAATAATTTTAAGATGTTATAATTTACTACTATTTTTTAATTTCGACGATTAACAGTGAACTTTTGTCTAATTATATATTACACATTAAATTAGTAACTCCAGTAAAATCAGGTTACTTAAAAATATCTTGAAACAGAAAATTCATATTTTAGGTATTTAGTTAAATATACATAATATAAAAACTGTTTAAATCGGATAAGCGATGATAAAATTAATTTATAGAATTCTGTTTACTTTGTGCATTATCAAACTGGATTTATCAATAACACAAACTCAACTTATAATTGTGCTTAATTTTTTTCAAATATATATTTTACACTTTAAATCTTATTATATAATAGCAAAAATAAGAAAAAGAACGCTTTTCTGGGAAAATTACTTAGCATGCTCCCATTATCTAATTTTTTTTTCAACGAAAGTACTTAGTCCATGAGACTCCGGGGAAATTAATGTCGAAGGTCGGGAAATTTTTAACGCTCGACCACGAGCGTTTTTNGGAAATTTTTAACGCTCGACCACGAGCGTTTTTAATTTTCGACCGTTTTTGAGAATAACGCTCGCTAACGCCAGCGTTTTACGACCTAAGGTTTGAAATTTTCACCAGACCCGTACAATAACATTTCTAAAATATCATAAAAAAAAATAATTTAATCTGTTCATTTTTTACCGTTCTACGGGGTTTTTTTTTTTGTACGCTCAAGACGCCAGGGTACGCTTCTATCCAGGGTGATCTACACGTGCCGAGGAAGCACCAAAATCCAAAAATTCGAGATCCGACCAAAACTCCGGCCGCTACGAACGTTTGAAATTCATCATCAAATTTTAACTATTTTATCATCTTGAATTTTACTGATTTTAAATTTTTAATATATTTTTGTTACACTGATTCTGATGTAATATTTTTTCTGCATAACACTTATCGTGACCGACGTAGCCGTGTACTCCTACCAGAATCAGTGGCCTACTTGAGACGGCCAAAAGAGGCCTACGCGGCGAAGGCGCGTAAGTCTAGTAGGGCCTCAAATCAGTAGCGAAGTCCTAGATAAGCAAAGCTTAGTACTTAATTAAAAATTATAAAAAAACATTTCTATCATTTTCTGATGTCCTAACGTTCATAAAAATTTAAATAATTTTTTTTGCTATATTTTGTTATCATATTGTCGCATCCTTCAACGCTTGAGAAAGTTATTAACTTTTTTTTCATGAGAGTCTATTAAGTTTTTAAAAGACGTATCTTTTCTGTATAATTTTTATTTTATAATATAATTTTTAAATTTTGGTTTAAAAATTACACTACTTTTTTCAAGGATAGAACGGAAATAATCTGTTATATTACAATATGTTATAATCAGGAAAATAATTAGCATGAAATTACTTTAACTCTTGTTGGTGATAGATTGTGTTCANAGAACGGAAATAATCTGTTATATTACAATATGTTATAATCAGGAAAATAATTAGCATGAAATTACTTTAACTCTTGTTGGTGATAGATTGTGTTCATAAACATTTATTTTAAGTATTCTTAATTGATAATTTAAATACAGATTTAAATGAATATTAATTATTTTGGTAATTAACAAATAATCTTCAATTTAATGTTTCTTTTTCAAAAGTTATAACAATACAATGTAAAATTTTTGACTACTAAGCAAAAGATTATTTTATCACTGAAAAATAAATCTTAGTAAAATCAACAAATTTATTATTAATATACAGCA